TGGTCATGCTGCTGTGAGTTGAAGGTACTTTCAGCTAACCAAGGTTTGTTACATCCATCTGTCCAGCTCTCTTAAGCATGATCTTTGAAAGTATGAAGAATTATGTTATATTCATAACAAGTGATATAGCTCAGTAGTGCTGCACTTGCCTGGCAAGCGCAAGGTCCTGAGTTCGATCCCCAGTACAAAACAAACAAACCAAAAAAACACTAAATATCACAGTAAACTTTTAAAATCTCTGAAGGCACATTTAACCTAAATTTTTATTGGAAATTATCTTTTTTTTTTTTTTTTTAAATCCCAAATCTAATCTGGTGAAAAAGATTAAAGACATCTTTTAAATATGAATGTTGTTTTTATCTTATAATGGTTCATGAAAACCATTTATAAAAAGGTTGTGCTTATCAGAGACTTCCAAAGTCAAGCATCAAATAAAGAATGCTGTTGTTAGAAGCTCAAACTCCCTATGAAGCTTAACAACCAGCACTTGATGGATAAACACCTGGCTTCTCTTCAGATTAAGTCCACATCTACTCTGGCGCTAATCATCAGAAAGGTGTACCCAAGGCTGGCTGGGCCAGGGCCACCAAACAGCCACATTAAACTGAGTCAGCAAAACCTTAAAAGGCTTAATTACCAATTGGTATACTACCCAATTACACTTATTGACCAATGTTTCCATCCAAGAAGAGTTGCTGATATTCATTCTCTGTCCTCAGGATTTTATTGGAAGAACTTTATGTTTTAAATGTGATTGAAAAGAATGTCACAAAGAGCTGTATGTCAGGAATGAATACTGTTTCTTAATTCTCTGAATTCTAATCTAAGATACAGATTCTGACACTGGGAGATTTGTGTTTGTTTGTCTTGAATCCATTTTCAATTCCCAGGGTACCCTGGTAAAGTGCATCTGTACCTAAACATTGGTATTTTCAATGACTCTTTCCAGTGCCCCTCCCAGACAGACATTTTGCATTTCTAATTTCCTTAGTATACTAGCAACCAAAGTGCATAACTGAACTGCAAATGGAAGAGTGGTTGCTACTGTAGTGAAATTAGAATTCAGTGAAGGTTATAAAAATATTAAACTTAATATCACATTACAGGAAGCGTAAGTATTTTTGATGGGCCCATAATTTTACCACCTCACCTGCTGTATCCACCAGTGAACATGGTTTGGAATATTAATGGAAAACTCCCTCATTATTAAACTGCAGTATTAAAAAGAAATTCCAAAACCACCAAGAGCTTACTATGAAGACATTTTCAGAAATTATCTACCTTAAAAATGTTTTCCTACCATACGGTTCACAAAACAGACTTAAATTTGTAAAGCTAGAACAAATGGGGAAACCGCCCACTGCCTCAAACAATTCATTAATTCAAAAAGTGTTATTCTCCTTGCACATGAAAGCTTGGGGGGGGGGAATCCAATCTTCCTCCCTACAATCTCCATGTAAGTTTGCCTATTCTGCTGAGGTCCAGATCTGAATAATTCCAAGGAGCAAGAGCCAAAACCATGGCGCTCTGGGCCCTCACCTGCTGCACTGCCTCCTACCACAGGCGTGGGTCCTAGAAGAGGTTTCTAAATGGACTCAAATGCATGAGGCTGAGAGAGCATAGCATCTCTCTGGGAAAATCTGCACATTATACTCTGCTGTCACAAAAAGCTATGCCTCTACCCAGCTGTTACTTTACTACCTGAGTTTATAGAAGGGAGTTGTTTTTTTAAGGACCCAGAAAGTATGTGACCTGTCACGTTCTGAAGAAAACAGTGTGACAGTTCAGATTCTGAAGCATAACGAAGGTCTCTCGAGTATCAGGTGAATCTGAGGTGAGAAGAGCTTCACAGGGCATGGCTCTGCCTGTCACAGCCCAGATCTGTGTGCTTTCAAACCTCAGCCCTCTGTGAGCAGGCGCCATCATCACCATCCTTCTCCTCTCTCTCTTTCCCTACTTCCCTTCCTTTCTCTTCAAAAGAAAGATTTATAACCTTTCCTAATAGCTGCATATCCCAAGGGCTTTCAGAAATAGGAGAAATGCAGTAGCCATGTCCTTTTTGAGAATGCTGTAACATTCTGTGTGGTAAGCAGGGAGATGCTGGTAGTATATTAAGTTGATCTGATGGCCACATTTTTATAAATTATATTTGAAAATTTACTCGTGGCTTCTCACTATATAAAACAGATGTATATTATACAGAAAGAAAAAATTATTAATTTGTTCAAAAAATTAGAAAAGATTCATAAATTAATAAGATTATGAGATTAACTTGTTTCTAAAACGGTAATTCAAATATTAAACAATCCATCTTCAACAAAAGCTAGCCAGTTTTTGACAAAGCTAATGAAAAAAATAGTGCAATTCCACTCATGCACCACACTTTCAGTAATGCAGAATCTGTAGATATTCTGTGAGATGGATGCTATTCTTCCTATTTTACAATGAGAAAAGTAGAACCTACAGAGGTTAATAGGTTGGCCAAAGATCGGCCAACTGGCTAAAGAACAGAGCTGAGGGTCCTGCTCTGGTTTCCTGACCTCAAGTCCAGTAAACTTTGAGAAGAGTGTGTAAAGCCACACTTGGCTATGTGTGCTCCTGGGCAGCAGTGAAAGGTGGCCTTTGGACAACGCACTCCTGGGTATACTCCCTCTGCCAAAGGAGCCTGTGAATTCTGACTCACTACAATGCCATCATGTGGCTCTATTTCAAGAGGATCCTTGGACAAGGACAAGGCTTTTTATCCTAAGGTATCCATATCTAAAAAAAATGATGCAGTTGTCTCTCGGCTGAAGCCCGTGGGGCTAACCTCCTTTCCCAAGCTGGGTGGCTATCCTGGAAATGCAATGATACCCGGCTTCACCCAGGTTCCTGCACAAGCATTGAGGTAAACACCAAAGAAAAACAAAGGAGTCTTTCCTGGTGTGTAAATATAATTGTGTCTCATTTGGAGGAAGGCCTATAGACACATGGACGTTTCTGTATTCAGCTGTTTTATCCCCAAATACATGGTTATCCCATAACTCTACTGAGGCAAGGCAGGATCACAGAGCACTAAATGGATCAGAAGCCAACAGATTTGGCTTCACATGCCAGCTCTGCCGCTAGTCAGATCACAGCTGTGTCCTACACCTGCTTTCTTGTCTGCAAAGGCAAAGCCAGAATCATAAAATCTTGGCTTTCCTTGAATAGTTAATTATAGATCAAAATAAATGCTCAGAGGGAGTTATTATTTTTAAAAAATCCTTATGATAAAAGAGAGAAGGATCTTTCTGAAAAGACATGTTTATACTTAATACCAAAAGGCACACCTAACACTATACAACTATCCTGAGATTATTCTGTTCAGAAGGCTATGTTATTTTCCCCATATTTACTTTGAATACTGGTCATTTTTGTCTACCAACAACCTTGCTCAAATCTGACATGAACAAGAAAACTGAGGGGGGAAAAGTGGTTTGAAGAAGGGAAGAAAAGATTTCAGCTGCCCATGATTTTAACAGAAAAATTTAAGCCAAATGGATCCAGACATGGCAATACTGTGGGCTGCCCCTTTTTTTGCAGCATGCTGCAGCTCACACAGCATGGACTTCAAAGCCAGGAAGAATGGGCCACACTTTGGTTTGTTACTTGCCAGCTTTGTGACCCTGCAACCACCAAGTCTTCTCCTCGGCAAAATGGAGGCAACAATACATCCCCGTGGGCAGATGACACCCATCGCATGAGAAAGAAAACATGTAGGCCCAGCACAGAGGAGCCTTCAATCAATTCTGGTTTCCACTCTCCCACCTGCTCCTGGACAAGACCCTGCTTCAAGAATCCAGAGCAAGTTTTACAGGTTCAGGGAGAAGCACACATTGGGGGGGGGGTGCACTGGTACAGACAGGTGCACTGTAATGAGAGAACCCAGGGGTTCAGGGAATAGAAATTTGCAGAAATGATCAGATAATGAAACACCGTATATCTTTCCAAAGAAGTGAATCATTTTCTTTTAGGTGTCAAATGAGTGGCCAAATATATCACAATCAAAATCTATCATGGAAAAAGCCAGATAGGTACTCACTTTAAGTGAGTAGTAGCTTCTAATGATGCAGAAGCCTCTGTGACATTAAATCACCTACTATTTAAAGGATAAGTCCACGCTCCCCCATGGCTCCTTCTTGGCTCCAGAAGCTCTAACGAATTAAAAGTTTACTCCATTTCTAAAATACATTTAAACTTGAACCCATCATTTACACTTCCTTAATTCTGAAATCCAACTCTGAAATTGGGCATTTTACCAGCATATTTTCAAAAGTTGGACTCTGAAAAATATGAACTCTCAGACAGAAGGGGAAACCCTTCAGACATGCACAAAACTTATACCCATGAATATATTTCTATTTCTTCTGCCCTCATCTCCCTTAGCTTTTCACAATCAGTAAAGTGCAGTCACCAATCAATGGAAATGACATGAGCTTAATGTCAGAAATCATTTAGCTTAAATAAGAAAATAACTCCATATAGCTTTCTCCCACAAACTAAAATTAAGTTTGTTTAGCCTTTTATTTATTGCCAAAGGGCAGATTTAATTTCAAGGGAGTGAAAGCCAAATTTATTCTGAAGTCAAGCCTAAAGTTTCCAATTTTGCTCTGTTAAGGCACAAAAGCTGCAAGCATCAAAACAAAGAGGCATTAATTATGGCAAAACAAAAGTGATAGGGACCACTGAGTTGTTTGGTTTTTTTTAAAGACAAGGTCTCACTATGTAGTTCAGGCTGACCTTGAACTCACTAGGTTGAGCCCAGGCTTGCCTTGAACTGGTGGCAATTATACTGCATCAGCCTCTCAAATGCTGAGATTACAGGTGTGTGCCCTAGCTGGACCACCAAGCTTTCTAATGAGGGTAGAAGGTTGGGGGAAGTGGAAAAAGCCTATCATCTTACTGTGCCCCACTGCATATCCAAGCTCCAAGAAAGGGTCTTTTGGCCCTGCTCTTTGGCCTCCAGTTTCCATACTTACCAGATACATTGATTGAGGCCCCAGCGTCAATGATTCCACTGTTGGGCCGAACGCAATACCTACGAGGTGCTGTGGTCTTCACTTTAAAACACACATTTCGATCTGTTGGGTTGCCAAGCTTCAGGTTGGCGGTAACGACATCAGTGAAGGGACCTGTGGAGCAAGAAGGATCTTGTGAGGGAGTTCAGAAGACTGATTATGTTTATGGTAGAAGGGATTTGGAATATGGTTAAGGGAAGATCCGAGATCTAAAATTATCTCATTAACAAGTAGATGGATGGGAGAGATGAGGTTAATGCTAGCAGCAACAGCTAGTATCATGTTCTCTACTTCTCCAGGTGCCCAGTAAATGTTCCCGCAGACGGCATCACATCGACACCTCACAACTTCATGACTACTGCTCTTTTAAAGATGGCTCAGGAAGATGGGTTACTTGTTCAGTTTTCATGCTAGTTAGTGGTAGTAAGGATCTGCAACTAGATGGCCTGAATTCAAGGCCAGTTCTTACCTAAGCTAACTATTTGTTTCCACAATAACAAGATGAAATCTAACAGGGAACATAAAAGAATAGACATGGGTCCCAAATAACTCTTGAGCACAGAGTGTGCCAGGAGTAGCAGATGTCAGAAAGAATTTGGAATATAAATGGTCTATAAACACAGAAACCCCTAACAACACAGTGCTGCTGCCAGGAAAGTTAATATCATTTTACACCACACACAGAATTTCAGAAACCTGTTGGAGAGCCCACACCTGAAATATCACAGTCAGTTTCAACTACTCAGGCTATTGGGAGGATTGAAACAAAGCCCTGAGGATATTCTTACTACTATTATTTATTCATTTCCTACTTTATTAGTTTTAATTAAAAAAGTAAAACATACTTCTTAAACCAAACAATAAAGGATGTATAAAAAAGAAGTTAATAAGCTTTCTTGTATCCCTTGAAGTAACTAATATTAACCATTTGGGAGACCTTTCCACATCACCTATGCTCACCAACAAAGCACACATACATATGTACACATATGTGAGGGGTTAACAAGAATGAGATTTTACTATGACATTAATCTTGAATCTGCTGTTTTTCATTTATCAATCTACAATGGCCATCTAATCAGGAGGTTTATTAAGGAGTCAAGTGGGAGGAGTTCAACTACAAAACCTCTTCAGTCCTTCATGTTTTCATATTTTCAACATGTGATTCGCATCTCTGATTCCTCTATGCTCTTTACTCTTGCTTTTGCATTTACAAGGGAGCAGAAGTTGGGGGTGGGGGGGATGTAGGGTCCTATGATCACAAAGAAATACATAATGGTTCATGTATCCCATCTGGGAAGAGGCAACAAAGATATTTAAATCTATGCTTTGAAAATTCTTACTCAGGGGAAGAAGGGTTGAAGGGAGGAGAGAGGAATGGGGGAAAAAAGAAGAATGAAGATGTATTATGTACAGGTACAAATTCCCTATGATGAATGTGATGATTATGTATGTCAAAAGTGTAGCAATAAAATTAATTTTATAACAAGAAAATTCTTCATTCAGATTCTAAGCTCTTGAGGACAGACTCTGCACAACCCATTCCTGTATCCCCAGCACTGTGCCTGACATCAAGTAAACGTCTCGATATGTGTATATATTCACCAAGAAAGAAACTACCTGTGGATTATCTCTAGCAAAATTAAAATCTCAGGCTGGTTTCCTCCAGAGGTGCTCAGAGTATGAAAAATCAATTTGATGTGGGCTTAACTTAAATACGTATTAAGAAATCAATAATGGTGGACAGGAAGAAAGGAAAGGGGACTCAATTCCAAAAATCAAATAAAGTACAGCCAGTTCTGCTACAAGAAAACACAAATTTATCCAAATGTGATTGATGTGCATATTAGAGGACAATCTGAGCATAAAACAATTTTCACATTTGCGTATGAATAATTTTGTGCGCAAAAAAACCCTTGGCAAACACAAAATTGCACCCTGCTCAATCTAGCTGCCCAGAAATAGGAGAAACACACATCTACACACACACACACGCCCCAACCACCTATATACAGGTATCTCAGTTCCTATGGCTCAGGTCACGAGCCAGACCTAGTAATGCAATTTTCCACTGGGTTTCAGGCAATCCTCCTTCCTCCACATCACCATGACTTGCAGTCTGCAACTACGCTGACACCATATCCACAGGCAAACTCCAGGTCTTTTTCCAGGTAAAGGTGTCATGGCTACTGTAGCAGTTGCTGCTCTTCTTAGGTCTCTAACTTTGTATGTGCATCACCAACAGAGTCATCAAGTATTGTACACCTAATCTTGTTACTCCCGTTCACCCTATGGTTTTTATTGCACTATGTTGTACAGTACGGTAAATTTAGGAATATGCACGTTGGATTACAGTAGAACTGACTATGCTACTGAATCATCTATTGTTTGGGGATTACCTATACTGAAAGCTTTTCTCATTCCACGAACAAGACACCTTCAATAATTAAATGCCTGAAAAGAATTTCTCTATTATGTTTCCAAGAAGCCTTCCTTTGGCCCTCTGGAAATCAGGTTGGAAGCCTTGGGAGGCTTCTTGAATGGTCCTTTTTTTTTGGGGGGGGGGATACAAATGAATGATGACTTTTTATTCAAAATGAAAACAGATTTATTAATTCCTCTGAAAAACATAATATATTATAACCAGATCACTGACTTTGTTGATAAGAAAAAATTTCAAGAAACTTGGCACTGATTTCTACCTATCATCCTGGCACATATCAAAGACCAGCAGGTAAGCAGGCCATGGGGGCCTGTGGCCAATTTTCTTCACTGGCAGAGGAGAGTTGGGTGAAGAACATGGCAGCCCAAGAAGGGAACCAAGGTGAGCATAAACTGCATGGTGAGGAAGGGAAAATAACAAGCAGCAAGTAAAGGCCAAAAAACATCAACAAAAAAAGGAAGGTAAAAAGGAAACTTAAGGGGCTAACAAAGACCTGATCACTGAGGGCTTTTCTTCCATATTCTTGTCATTATTAGGCTTTCTCCTGGAAACAGGAGGGAGCCACTGGGAGTTACAAATTGAGAGACGGTCACTGTCACTTTGGTGGCTACTGTCAGGAATAGGGGAATTGCTCCACCCTGGTCACCCCTTAAGCCCTAGCCAACTTTGTCCCTGAGATTTTCAGCTCCAGCACAGCATCCTCTGTCCTTATCCTGTCAAGCATGGAGGGAAGGGAGGGTGTCCAAAGATGAGGGCTCAGAGAGGGAAGTGGTCCCTGCTCCCCTCTGTCTCCAGTTCTCCAGCCCTGGGCTGAATGTAATTGTCCTCGATGAATGTATGGTGTAGCCATAGCCAGACACGGGGAAAGGCAAAATCCTTAGTATTTCATCTCAGCTACTGATTTCACAAACAAGCCTCTCTCTACATGTGAAGTCAGCTCCCTACTAAGAACATAGGAGAGCTGGTACCCTATGGCTGTAAGGATTTTCAGCTACGACAGCCAGATGCTGACGAGGCTCCATCCTTGCAGCAAGTTCTTGGCATCAAGAGAGAAATGGGATACTTGGTACTGAGATGGTATCCAGGGGATTATGGAGGCACCCAGCTCTCTGGGACTCAACTCTGTTACACTCTCCAATGCATACAGTCTGACTCACAAGGAAGATGGAGAAAGTCTGATCTTGCATCAAGTCTCGTTTGCTTACGGTGGGGATCACTTCAACAAGCACAGACTAAAAAAAGAATAGCTAAACACAGTGCTGATTTTCAAGGCCAAAAAAAGCAATAAGGCACACAAACTTACATGAACACAAACAAATGACCACACACATATATTCCCTCCCCCTCATATATACCCAGCCAATCAGAACTCCATGTAAGGAAGGCTGGAGCTCAAGTAGCCCTTTATTGCTGGGGGAAAGAAGAAAAAGCAGACAAAAACACGTGTCTACAAAAGTGACACCTGAAAGGGGTGAGCTTTCAAATATAAAGCCTAGGGGAAAAAAAGGAATTCAATAATGGTCTAAATGTGACTCAAACACTATCAGTCCTCAAAGATTTCTAGATTATAGAAGCATCATCAGTCATAAGGCCAAGAATTCACAATGGCCCCAAACACATCCGAACATACACAGACTTTTCACCATGGTGCAACTGAGAATACTTACCAGTTCCAACTCAACTCTAGTCTCTCTTCCCTTACTCCTTTATGAAGATGGGTTGGGGGGGAGGGGAGCCGGGTTTAAGTAACTCATTACCCATTACATGGACCTCTTCTAAGCACGCTACAAAATTAAGGCAAATTTAATTGTAAACACTAACTTGTTTGCAGAAATTTCCCCAGGTAAATCTATTACATAGCAATCTAAATGGTCTCTCAACTTACTTATAAATCACACTGAAGATAGTCTAACTCTTTAAAGACAAGCAATATTTGTAATAATGAGCAGGATAAAATAAACACCTCCTATTTTCCCCTTAACACTCAATCCTAGGTCCTTATATACTAGGACTTCTTGGGTCTAAGCTTTTATTTATAAAAACCTAGAGGGAGCAATGTTGAAAAAATATGCAACAGAACATTACTGATAAAATAGCAAATTTCCATTAGTAAAAATCAAGATATTTTGTAAAAACAGGCCAATCCTCCTCTCTCTGCTCTGGGCAATTTACTATAAGAATTTTATTGAAAACAAATCCTATTCGATTTGAGTAATTATAGGAGACAAACCATGTAAGTGTTTTACTTTTCCCCTGTATTAATTAGGATACACAAAAACCTCAATAAAAATGATATAAAAGCTTGTGAATATCACTCAGATTTTTACTAGTCACTTTCATTTCATAAAACTGTCATTTTCATTAAAAATTATGTAAAAAATGGGATTTTACTATACAAACATGAGTATTTATCACCAATGAATTTAAACATTTGCTTATAAAGTACAAAGTCAATTTTACAAATGAAATCTCTTTCAAAAGTTAGAATTTTTCTGTTGAGACAAAAGAAACGATTTGTGCCTCTAGAAGCACATTTACTTTTAATCATTTTTCTTTCTAATCTTCTATTCCCTTTTCAGGTAATGTCTGGACAAAACCAGAAACTAAGCATCTCAAATACAAAATGGGTGGTTAAAAAAAAGAGGCAACATGAATTTGAGAGAAATTAGAA